CTTCCCGTGGTCTCTTGCTCTGCACTTCAAAGTGTGTCGCTTTTCTTATCCGGTAATCTTCGAACCTTCTCAGTACCTGCCCATAGCACGCTGCTCTCGTGCCTTCAGCTGAATCGGGAGCGTTTGTTCAGCCCTCGTTATTGCTCTGTCTAGTCGTGTCCAACCGCACGCCCATCACACGCAGATCTTGACTTCAGCCGAGTGTAACTGCCTTTCGTTGTTCTCGCATCTGAGCCAGCACTCGCTACCGCTGAGTATCACAGGTCTTACCAATCTCAGGTACATCTTGTTTTTGAAAGTCCTGGAGCATGGTCGATCGCTAAGAATGTTTGAGGACCTCTCTATTTCTTATAGGCTGCCGCCTGGTCCACGCTACCACCAGCTGCTGGATTGCTTTCTAGATAGCGCTGAATCTCCACCCCTTTGAGGGATTCCCTTTGACTGTCCCCAATGGGCTAGGCGCACTCCCGGCAGCTCAGAAATGTGATCTTCTTGACCTTCCAAGAGAAGCGCGATCCTTCTCCATCCAGCGTCAGCTGCGACCCGCTGAACCCCTAACGGTGGTGTACTTTGTCCCCTACAGTAATGTGTCCAGGTTTCAAGATTTTCTACTCTTCTAATACATATTAATTGTTCCCTCCGCTTAGTAACTTTTTCGCACGAAAGGCAATTGCATAAGAATGAAAGAATCGTGTTTCTCTTCTTATCGGCGGAGTTTGTATAGGTAACGAAGATGCGTGTGCAGGACAACAAGGACGACACGGTGACGACTCGTACTCCAAATTGAATTCTTCCCCTGCTCACCCTCATGGATTCAGTGGAACTCTCGGACCAAGTAATGATGGAAGAGTAAGTGGTAAGTAAATTGCGCAGTTCTCAAAGTTCTTTAGGTGAAGGACTAGTCTTTAAACATTAGGTTGGCAACAAATTGTGTTCTATGTTTTAGCTTTTTCAAATTAGCATGCAGTGGAAATCAACCAGTATAAATCGTCTAGTAATACCACCGCCATTGCCCACTACAGCGTCAACTTATAGACAGACTAGAGGTCGCTTCTTTCAGAATTAGGGAAGCTGGGAATGAAAGGTATAGAATACTCCCCTGTCAAACAGCCGAATTTTCTCAGTCAGGAAATTTCAAAGAACGAGACAGGCGACAGATGAGGGCCCTATTATAAGGCAATGCGCTCCCCCTTTCTCATGAAGGAGGTGCACCAAAAGCTTATCTCGGCCACTTTTCTCAAACAGCTCCAGAGTGATCGTAAATCTGAATCGCGTAAATGACAAGGGGTGACTGTTGTACTTGGAGGGAGCCGCTCGTAGAGCATTTTTCTTGCGTCCTGGGAGCAGCAGTGGAGGAACTTCTCGTAGTGCATGTTTAGCTCTTAACTGACGTGTGGATACCCTGGTGTACCGCGTATCGTTATCTCTACAGTTAGCTCTCTATTCGTTGCACATGTGCGACTTCCATGAATTTCTATAGCTACCCCCAACATCCGTTCATCTCTTGCTTCCTAGGTTCACGTTATTTGTTTTCCTTCTCACGCTTACCCTTGTTGACGCGCTCACCCCTTTATTACCTATGTGATTGGCAGTCGCTCCGAAACGTGCGAGCCAGCATTCGACAATCCTCATATTAGGGGTTTTTTTTGGCCTGAGACTTTCTAAAAGTCCTTCTTGGCTAAGCGAAAGGACAAGGGACTAGTCTTTTGTTGTGTGATTTTTACAAATAGTGTTTTGCTCTTCGGCACTAATTTTATCAACAGCTGATGATTTTAACCTACTGCGTTGACTTCGATGCGAAGGTAGCACTTGAAGGATAGTTATGGGCCGCGCCAAAGCATTTTCGGCTGGATCCCCAACAATTCCTGAACTAGATGGAATTGAACCATAGGCTGGATGCGCATATCCACTTCTGAAAAATGCTATAGGTAGTTCATGATCCCTTTCATCTTATACGGACTTCGTCGCTCCTTCCTATTCATTTGGACATACAGTCCTTATCATTGCGGACCGGTGGGGCGTGTCAGCCCAATATGAGTGTAGTGAAGTATGCGGCAACATCCTCCCCATCCCGGACATGGGTT